TTGCGCGAATGCGCTGAATGACGTGATACTGAAATTAAAATCCAAGTTTGATGGTGATGAAGATCGCATGTAGAGCAAGCGTTTTGTTGTTGCTCTTGCGAGGTGGGCCAGAATAATACGAAGAGCGGAAGAAGATTTAAAGTAAAGCTAAAAAATGGGTAAACCCACCTTTAGGTGAATGGCTCTTTAATGGACCAGGTCCCATTACATATGTTGTGTGGACCACTTAGTTTATATGAATAGCATTAATTGTACACCCTGTATAGTTGTATATCTCGAATCAGTTCTGATGTATTAGAACTAGAAGTACTTATCAGGTTAGAGGGGTTGAGAGACTATTGGCCTTATTAATAAATGTTACATCACCTTTCCTCCTTTCTACGCAAGTCAGCAGCCCGCAGGAAGCGAGAAACAGCGGTGAGGTGTGTCAGTTGACTTAATTCTCCCTAAAAAAGTGTGTGTAGACTGACGGGCAATTCCCGTTAAAAAGCATAATCTATGGCATAGACTGATTTCACATGCGTAATGAAATGAGCCATCCGTTTTCGATAGAGCCACAATCGAGGCTCTTAAAAGGCTTTACTTACGGCCTTTAAAGTCGCATCTCCTTCCACAATCCAGCACCCATTGACATAAATTCAGAGAGATTGGTGAGGGATCGTGCCATGTCGGCGTGATTGTAGATTAATTGTGCAAGTCGCGAGCAATTTGCATGGAGTGCTCTTGGAAACAAATACCTGGATAATGTACAATTGCATTTATATTCGCGAGATCTGCGACAAACAAAACGTTTTTTATAATTGGTAATCGCTTATCAAAGCACATACATGTGAAATTTGCTCGCAAGTGTTTATGTGGCTCTCCACACCCGACTTCCATAACTTGCACAACCATGAAAATTTATTGATGAAATGGTTTGTAAATAGCTATAATGTGACCTAAACAGCTATGTCACCAGGAGACGAAACGTCACAGCTACATTATACAGTCTCTTTGGCGTGATTAGCCACTTACCGCTCTGTGTAGTTATTGCAAGAGAAATCGCTAATTCACTCCAGTAGGAGATCGTAACCACGGTGTTAATTTGCAGCTTAAAGACCAAACTCTTTCTCCTCGCTATTGCTGAGGTTTGTTGCGAAGATCTTGAACATCCCGCTTTTCAGTATGCCATTGTGGCACGGTTGTTATAGTCCGCAATCAACGCGACGCCCACACACCCATTGCTTTCTCAAAAGCGATACGGCAGGCGTGGAAAGTCTTGGTCTCGTTTCTACATCTTCTATGAAGTTGGTTACCGTTACCGCCTCAGGGAGACAGTCTGATCCGACTGCGGCGATAAACTTTTAACTCCTGAAAATTGTCTGTTAATTGCTTTTTCCAGTGGCGGATTTCGAGTGCACCCACGGCATCTATTGTTCAAATTGTCCCACGTAGGGAGCAGCTCTTTTCTTAAGGTATTGTTCGTTAGCTCACTTTGATGCGTGCGCTATCATAAATTAGAGACCGCGAACGCAACGTGCTGTCGCTTCTTTTGAAGCATGGCAATTCTATGGCCATGTCGCCTTCCAATACCCGGAGGGTTAGATTTTCTTCCGACCAGCCCTTAAAGGCTCAGACGATTGACGTTGACGGCCTCACGATGTAGACCATTTTCCACCGGCGTTAGGTTGGGGCGCTCCTAAACGTGCCTCATTAGTTGGTGAGCGCTTTCAGGCAAGTGATTACAGCTCCGACCCGTTGGCAACCGTTTCCTGATTCCATCCCGACCCTATCGATACGAACTCATTTACCGGAGACAGATTCACTAACATTATATATCCCATCCTCGCAGAGAATATAAACCATCAGGATCGTCAGTGGGAAAATTCACGACCAATTTCAACGGGAATCGAGCTGCCTTATTTTCTAGCTCAATAAGCCTAGAACCGAGAACCTCTACAGTATCTCAGTGTCCAGTCAGCTCTGGTTTTAAGGAGTTCAAATATGTTGAATAATGCTAATGATATTAGTGTTTATTATATACATTCTTATATCTTTTATCGGAAGGCTGATTTTACTTCTGGTGCGCGGCAAGTAGCCAACATCAACCACATATTACTTTTTTTGGAGTTCCATCATCTTCGTGAATATCAATGTTTTCGCTACTTTTAAATTAATTTAATTTTCTCTGGCCTTCACTTTTGTGGGACTAGCCTCAAAATCCGTGCGTCCGGCAGAAAAACCAAGAGATTGCATATTATCTGCGTCAACGACACAGCCATCTTCGCGGATTTTACAGATGAATGCAATCGAGCACAGAAAGTGATAAGTTATGATGTCTACCTCTGATTTCGCGCATTCTGTGCAAATTTGAACATATTTATCGTCGATATGGATCTGTGTTTCTACATGATGAAATCTTAACCACCGCGGGACCAGGAGACTAAAGTTGATGGTGAACCAGATAGTTTCTTGTTTAAACCCAGCCACTTCCATAGAACCTCTCTTGTAGTCACACTGCAGCAAGAGGCAAATCACTTGCTCGCATGAGTATTAAGAAAAGCCCATTGACTAAGAAGTCGAGAGCGCTGTATAAAACATTCTAACATTCTTGCTGCAGCAGATCTATTCTGAGAGTTATTGTCAGAGTCTGAATCGTAGCCGTTGAAAGTATGCGAAAATCACCATTTGATATGACCTTTCCGCTACAGATAGATGGTGTCGAGTGGAGAAATTTACTCTCTCTTACCAAACCCAAAAAGATTTTGCGCAACAGTGCATATATCATCACGCTACCCCCTCATTAGAGGCCATTGGTAATAGCAGTTGGTTTTAGGTACAATCTCTTGGCATACACTGTGATCCGGAGACAATACCTGTGAAGGATCTCAAGTAACCACGTCAAGATTTTTTCCCAACAAAATAATAGATTTCTTACGGGGAAATGATCCGCTCTTGATACCTCGTGCTTGTCGGGCGTCCGCTGTGACAAGCATATTGGTGACTGATGATGCACTTGGCTTCTATCAGTACTCAGCTGCTGATTTCACCTTCTCGTAACTTCTAGCATACACCCCCTGAGAACTTTTATGCTTTACATGAGCTCCAATCTTTGTTCGGGATAAAAGACTTAAATTCCGCTGATTCACGCCAGCCAGCTCATTTGAAAATACGTACCACCATTGGCGAAAAATCAGTGCAGTTTTTGAATCTTTGCACGATGGTCACGCTACTCAGTTTTACTGACTCGGCTTTACCGACACACCAGGGAACGAATGAGTGATTCTTAGTAACATCCGGGCAAGGCCACACGACACGCAGCTTACAATCACCTAATTTTTATAGGCTCGTCTCAGAGGCCGCGACTTTAGCCGCTCCAATTTGTCCTGATGGGGGAAACCTTGGAGACCGCGACAGACGGTCTCTTTCTATTATACAACCTCTCCGATCGTGGTTATTCTAATCACCCTCTTCCTCGACCGTTTGAATCCCAATTTACCGTGCCTTTGTCCATTTGAACCTTGTTGTATATAACACAATTTGACCAAATTGACAATGTTAAAAATACACAAGATCACTGAGCTTGTTTCCTCACATACTTAAAAATATTTCAAATAAAATTAATTCTAAATGTTTGGACTTCTGAAAGAGCGAAGCAAGCTAGATAATTAGTTACGTTAGAGGCTCTCGATCCTAGTTGGTGCGTACGAACCCAACCAGTGTGCGTTTACTAACGCGGACTCCTTTAGTCGAATCTTTCTCTGTGCAAAGTTCATGGCAATCCCGATTATCAATCGGATTAGCTTTATATCGGCACCCAATACGGGATTTCAGACTTCAGTGATAGATTCCAATTTATATTAAAGCAAGCAGTGCTCTTTATACCATGAACTGGAGGTATTGGTACAAATTTTTTTTGTAAGAGGGCGGCGCTGGTCACAAACAGTCCCTCATACACAGCACACACGCTTGTGTGATGAGGAAGCGATTCCCAACGTGGAGGGAAGAAGAAGACTTAATGCCTTTAAGGCAAATTTGCAGCTAAGTTATTGGCAAATTTCAATCAGTACTACCGGTATTGCCGGTGGTTGTGCTCCGTCATTTTGCACAAAAATGTAAGAAAAAATCAAGTTAATTTGTCCAGGTTTGACATTCTATTCGCTTGTTAATCAATTGTAGTTTTGTTATCTTGAAATCTTATAACCTAGCTGTCTCACATTCAAAGCTATTTGTCGACAGGCTCAAACTGACTAGGGTTCATCAATACTCTGCAATTCCCCCTTCTCCGTGCCCATCCATCCAGGTAAACTAAACCTCTCTTATACGATCGAGTGTATGCGATGTGTAAGCTGCTAGCCAGCACGCAGATGACTAAGTTCGTTACCTCTTAGCTAATAAAGATGCGAAACGGGCTCCCAATACCTTTAGCATGATGTCCTGCACGCATAGTTTCTGAGCTCTCTACAATTGCCTTACAAAAAAAGGCAATACAGACAATAGTTTAGTGTAAGCTAGAGAACAGCTAGAAGCTTCAAACTGAGTTATATGCATGTAGGATACGTTCAGCGAAAACAACTTTTTGTCTTGTAGATGCGATTTGACATATAATCAGCATTGTTTAAAACTGATGTTTTGCATTCTGATGCGTAAAAGAGGCGGATTGCCCGATGGATACGCAGGAGAAAAACAAACATGCGATCTTCTGGTAAAGCTCGTCCTTTCTCCAATCAAACTTAGTAATTATAGCACTGGATATTCTATGAAAAATTCACACAAGCCATTGGTGGGGATAGTCGGTCCTCCATCCCGTCTGTTATCGTATTCGTGGGAAACATATATTTTGCGCCACCCATCTGGTCACAGCTGCAGTCAGCCAAATTGTTGAGCAATAACCAGGAGCTCAGTGCCTCATTCGATGCTTTGCTCTGCCCACAGCACAAGCCATTAGTCGCATAGAATCTGACGCAAACGCTGGAAGAAGAAGCAGCTGTCCTATAGGGTAAAGAACAAGCACGAGTCAAATGGCGCCACTTTCAGTCAGGGCCAGCGTAGAAGCGGCAAACAAGGCTTGCAAAGGCCCCAAGGCGGCAGTGGACGAGAAGTGGGCAAATGTCAAGACATGGACATTTGCACAACTGCTGGCCAGTTCTCTCGCCAAGGTCTCACTTGAAGACGTCATACAGAACGATTGCAACTCGCAAACGGATGGAATGACACGGACTAACGGCAAGAGCAAGACAACTTGTGGTAACAATGATGACTGGAAATGCTCTTACAACAGTCTTAACGCCCCACTAACAACGTCTGAGGCGGCTACGAAGAAAAATGGCAATAATGACTGGGACTGCTCATACAATCTCAAGCCGCATGCCACTCGCTCAACGTTTTCGGCATCATCATCCTCAAGCACACTGCTGTCAGATGCCGAAGGGAGCCACTCAAGACACTCACTAGACGACGTCTTGGAACACGAGGAGACCGTTATCAAAGATCGAGAGTCAGAAATGCGCCACGTGTTCGATATTGTTCGCATTATTGGCTCGGGGTCTTATGGCACTGTGCTACTCTGTCGCTTGCGTGCGTGTTTTAACCGCCTCTATGCTGTCAAAGTCGTTTATAAAGCGAAACTTAGCACTATTGATGGAGACACGAACGCCGCGCGTCAAGTCCAGCGCTTGCTAACGGAAAGGAAAATTCTTTCCACGGTAGATCATCCGTTTATCACCAAAATGTACTGCTCATTCGAAACTCCCGATGCGCTCAACTTTGTGCTTGAGTACTGTCCTGGTGGCGATATGTATTTTTTACTTGAAAAGTACGCTCAGCACCGTCTACCTGAAGCTCACGTGCAATTCTATGCTGCGTCAATCGCCTTAGCATTGCGTTATCTTCACGAACGTGGTATCTTGTACCGTGATCTCAAACCTGAAAACATTCTTCTCGACGAAGCAGGATTCCTTCGTCTCGCAGACTTTGGCCTGGCGCGTGAGCACATGAAACGAACAGAACAGATCTGTACAAGTTTCTGTGGATCAGCAGATTACATTGCTCCTGAGATGATTCGAGGTGACGGCTACGGATTAGCTGCTGATCTTTGGAGCTATGGTTGTGTGGTGTATGAACTGTTGACGGGATATCCGCCCTTTTACTTGCAGCATGATCGCGCTCTACTATTTCATGCAATTGAAACGGATGAGCTAAGTTTCCCGAAACACTTTTCGCCTACTCTTTGCGCTTTTCTTTCGGGTCTTCTGCACAAGGAAGCGCACCAGCGTCTTGGTAATGGACCTAATGGAATGCAAGAAATCTTTGACCATCCATTCTTCGCTAATGTCAGCTGGCACCGTCTGGAGACGAAGCAGGTGGCTCCACCTATTGTACCTAAACTGACCAGCAAGTTGGATACCTCAAACTTCGAAGACCAATTTACTTCGCAATTAGTTGAAGGCCACCTTGTGTACGAAGAGCGAGACTCACAAAGTGCTCTCACAGACGAGGTAGACAATAGCTTTTTTTTTGGTGAATTTGACTGGTGCGCGGATGCGACGCAGTTTAAAGAATACGCCAGCAATATACGTACCTAGCACCAAAAGTCCATTGCATGGTTCAACATTTTAGAACACGCAGCGTTATATTAAACATACCGAAATTACAAGTGCATGACGAAATCGTTCACAGGAAGTTGACACTTTTGCTCGACGCAGTTTTTAACCCATTCCCTCGAGACAACAGGAGGCACAGGCAGGCCTTGATGACGCAAGTTCCGAATGAGAGGTGCAACTTGCTTTACTTGAGCTGGGTCAGCAACGACTACATGGGTGACAGAAGAGTCAATTGTGCCGCTGATTATGCCTCCGTAAAGTCTGAGCTGCTGCTCAAATAGTTTCATTTGCCCTACTAACAGAAAGTCAGAATCTTCGTTCTCGTTCAAACATGACGGAGCGCTGCTCTGAAAGTAAACAACACAGTGAGATAAAAAAGTGAAAGCACTATCCATCGCTTCTGCTTCCTCTATCGCCAAATATTTCAATTTAAGCTGCCACGGAACGTTTAAAACATCGTCTTCGGTCGACATTGACAGCTCACGCAAAATTTGTCGTAAATTGCCCGGACTGAGATGTTCCGTGAAGTGATCTCCGTACCGATCATATTCCTTTGCTAGTAGTTCTCGCTGTATATTGGTTGTGAATATATAATCTGTTGCCTTAATGGGCACCAAGTGTGAGGCTGACACACATTGGAACACCCATCGAATGTGCACAATGTTAAAGAGCCCCTGTTTTCTTAAATTCGCAACCTTCAAACCAGCGTCTCCAGAGGCGACAACAAAATGCGTAGACCCGACAATTGGATTTTGCACAACGATACCCCCAAACAAATGTAATAGCTTTTCGACACCCTGTTTCGTTATATGCAAATCATTTTTCTCTTTTATAATCGCTGGAAGCGACAACTTTAGCTCAAGCGGTGGCACTTGATACTTTCCCGGTACCACGCAAAACTGCATTCCTTCGAAAACATTGCGCTCTAGCTCGATACCCTCCAATTCAGCCCGCGAGTAATCTTCGAGGACGCCACTGGGTCGCCATTTCGAGATAGTTTCGCGCTTCTTAATGCGTTTTGGCAAACTTTTTTCCCCAAGAGCTACTTCTGAAGCGCGTTTGGTTGAAAGGCTTCCACGTGCTGCATTCAAATCTTGAAGATCAATGCACTGATACCATTCTTTGTCGTTGCGAATGGCTTTGCAACGAGGGAATCGAATTGTCAGCCCAGTTTGGTATAATGTCGTGAATGACAACTCGAATCCGTAGACTTCAAGAATCTTAGAACGTCGTGGGTCGATCCAAACATCTGGTCTCAAGTCGCTCTTCTGTGGTTTCCAGCCGTTTAAATGTTGTGGAATATTGTTATCATCCCACGGCTGCCAATAAGGTGCCAATTCTTGTCGCATTTGTTCAAGCTCCTCCAAGTTGTACCCAGTACCCACCTTAGCAAATGTATATACTCCTGGACAAACCGCACCTGACTTCATCACTTCTGCCGCACCCTTTTCATCCAACGAACGAGCAAGAACACCCAACAAAAAGACTGATACGTTGCCACTTCGTCGTCTTCCAGTGCCATAAAATCCACCAACAATGATTGTATCTAGGTCGGTAGTCATACCAGCGTAATCTGGCTTCAGCTTCAACCACTTCTTCGCCTTCCTACTGCTTTCTCCGCACATGTAATGCGCTTTAAGATCTTTTATAATGACGCCTTCACCTCCGTTGGCTATCTGTGCATCAACCTCCGCCATAACCCTGTCATGCCTTTCTTTAGCAGACATTTCATTAACCAGCTTCTGCTCGATGATAATAATTCGATTATCTAATGGTTTGAGAATCCGGAGCAGCAATTTACGTCGCGCATGGAGCGGCAACCCCATTACAGCAGCAATTTCGCCCGGACCCCTAAAAACTTCACGAATCAGTGCTTCGGCTTTCGGGCCTCCACCAAGGTAAACTACATCCCACACAATGTAGCACAACCATCGATTTGTTGCTTCACCTTTACGCACTGCAATCGCTGTATTTTTTAATAATCCAAATTCACGCAAACGATACTCTGTATTGTCCCACACCATCATCTCTCCGTCTAAAATACAATCAATTCCGGGCTCCAGTTGTGACAACACGTGCGGCTTAATTGATGGCGCGTAATCTTCTGTGTAATTTACTCCGTTCCTCGATATAAACTGCACTTCTTTTTCTCGAACATGACATGTTATTCGCTCTCCATCTAGTTTCGGCTCCATGACAAATGCATCAGCATTGATTGCAGTGATGCATTCTCCAAAGTCCACACGTTTTGCCAGCATTGGCGTAAATACTTGAAAGGGTTCAAGCTGAGGAACATACCTCACTGCAGAATTGCGTAGCTCTCGACAGATTTTATGCAGATCGTTTGTATGATTATACATTTCCAGTGCGTCTGGGTGAATGAAACTCAAGACGCGTTCGTGTCTAAGTCCTATCTTCAGATCTTTAAGCACCACACGAATAAGCCACTTCTGCTCGTCAGCAGCGTATTCTGTCGCAATCTTCATAAACATCTTCTTTCGAGCTGCTATCGTGTCTGCTCGCACTAATTGGTCCAACAAATCGTTAACATCTCCCAAAGTGTGTGGCTTCTTAGATTTAGCCCCTGCGCCTTGATAGAGTACGACATCAAATAAAACGGCGGCGAAGTCTCCTACAGACTTGCTATCTACAATTTTGGGATCGTTAAAGTGCTCGAGCTTTTGTGCATCCTTGCTTATTGGTGCTAACCCAAGAACGTCAATATATATCTTTGCAATCTTCTTTTCCTTTAACATGTACGTGCGTTCGCGGTCCAGTTGGGGCAGCAGAAGACGAATGAGCGGATACAGATCACTTTCACCCACCTGGGCACGCAAATTTGCACTAAATATAAGATTGAGTTTCATATCATTCTGGTTTGTGGCCTCAACGGCCTTCAGCACAGAGCAAAGTGCCGTGAAGGATAGTCCTGACGCTGCGCTCTGGTCGATGGTTGTGTCCATCATACAAATGTATTTGATTCAATCGAAAAGTGGGTTGGACCCTGATATGAGACGATGTTTGCAAAAATCATTGTAAGTTACATGAGCATCGTACGACTTTGACGAACAATATTGATATAAGGAAAGTTTGAACTCCATTCCAGTTTTGCTGATTTGCAGGTAAGCTACAAAACATGTAGATGAATGAATCATTGAAGCAGTTTCTGAACCTAGGTACATGTAATTGAATTTGTAAAGGGATCCTCGGTCTTTCGCAACTTGGTCATTGAACAAGAAAACGTCATGTGGGCAAGCACCATCTTTGAGGTCTCGAGCGCAGCATACGAACTTGCGTCTGTAGTGACGGACGTGATACTCAACTACGAGTACATTAATCGCAAGTGGTTGGAGGAGTATATTCTATCCATTGTGTTTCTTGGCGTGAATGGCATCGTTATGGGTTTAGTCGGCTTATGTATTGATCACGGTTATCCAAATCGATTTTTCTACAACAAATTGATCAACAGGGTGTTTGGCTTTTGTATTGGGCTACTGCAAATGCGCGTATTCATTGAGACCATATACACCGCCATTTTAACATTAAAAAGCGGGAAAGCCAACAAATTTGTGCAAAGAGGCGAAAACTCAACTGAAAACGCAGACAATTCGCATGTAGTTACAGTGGGTGGGCATGTCGTCAACGACGCGCTGAGAGAAAAAGCCAGGCAAGAATTATTGTGCTTAACATTCATTCAGGCTATCGTGCGTGATGTTCCGCTGTTCGTACTGCAAGCAAATGCCACAATTCACTATCGAAAGTGGAGGCTCATTGACCTTTTCACAGTCATCACTACATTTATTTCACTATCGTATGGCATAGCTGCATTCATAGCAAAAGAAGATGGAAATTGCATGAAGTTCTTTGCATTTGTGTTTCTTGTGGGGCAGTTCGTGTTTCGTCTAGGAGCAATCTTGCTTTTAGCGATGACCAAAGGATTCGCGATTCTCGTCTATGGGATCGTGATAATCTTGTTTGCCATTTTGTGGACGGCAAAACTTCGCTTAGCATACCCAAGTTTCCGCCTCATTGACCAACTACCTCGCGCAATGATTTTTTTCCCGCTCTTCACATTATTCGTTATCGATGGCACGCGGCTGACTGCTGAATACGGATCAGCAGTCTCTGCTCTTCAAAGCAAAAAACTGGTGCTTCTGCATCTTTGGCGGTGTCTGGAAAATATTGTTGGTATGGTACTTGCTATCATTCTTCCACGTTATACTGATTTTGGAGTCAGCTCTGACGCAACAGTATTGTTCATTGGAGGAATTTGCCTAGGTATCTACCTAATATTGGCTTACGTATTTTACTGCGCTCCGAATCGTTGTACGAAGCGTAACTCCGACGACACAGAGAGAATTTTAAGTGAATCTCCATATACAATGGGGCTCAATTAGAAACATAGAATTGCTCTTGTAAGACAATACAATACAATTTATATATGCTATTGTTAGTGCTGTCCACGTCGCCAATCCAATTCCACCTATCAAAGTGAAGTGGTGATGCATCCCATAGCTATCAAACTACTCTCTGCGCAGCAGAAGCGCAAATTCTTTGACCAGATCGATGAATTGTCACGTTTATCGAGACATCGACGAATGAAGTCGGATGCACTTGTAAATTCTGAAATCATCGAAACCTCGAGTGGGACGCGGCGCCAAGCGACGGCCTGCTTTTCCGAAGCTGAAAAAGAGCTACAAAGTAAATTTTTAGAAGGAACGAGAAATATGCGCGACTTAGAGAAGCCTGGTGCGTTGCAACAAGACCAACAAAACCAAGCGTCTCGAAAACATAAGCCCGATGGCCCACATTCCAAGAAGTCACAGCGCGTAGCTGCAACTACCATTGTGGATTCTAGTTCGCTGCTATTATGTGACAAAAAGGTTTTACTGGTCCCAATTGGGCCCGACATGGGTCGAAAACGAGTAGCAGTCTTGCAGAGCATAATTGAAAATCTCGGAGGAATTTTACTGGAGTTGACATTGAAAACGGGTTCGAGAGCAGCTGTTGGATCGGGAGGTGCTGCCATTGTCAAGTGGGATGAAGTTTCTTTGGTCATTGCAAGTGCACTGCTCACAAGAGAGAAGGCAACAGATTTTTTGGGCATTGAAAACTTTCCCCCACCTAAGATTGAGGTTTACACGCCAGAATGGTTGGTGTATTTGCAGCAGCAGCATAATTTCCCGCCTGCAGGATCTATGCTGACGTGGTCCGAAAAGCAACAGATTCAAGAAGCAAAGAGGCACGAACAGCATTGTCAACAGGTGGCTAAACAACGTGTGGAAAGAAAAAGAAGAGGTGACGACAGTGACAGTGATGAAGGCTCGGATTTGGAGAATTCAGGTACGCGGCAAATTGTGCGAGCGCCTCCTGTTCTAATCGACAGTGAAGAAATCCGAAAGCAACAACAACAGCTAAGCGAAAAGGGTCGTAAGCTTGTCGAAGAGCGCACACCCATTTTCTATCGGAACAATCCTGGCTTTCGTCCTATCAATGAAACTGCAGTACCAGACTCGAAAATAGTGAAAGGCGAAGGTTTTATTTGCCAACAATCATCAGGTGAGCTGCACTATCCGCTCAATTTACAGGGGTCTGCGTTGAAACAACTTCTATCCTTTAACAGCCGTTCAGCAAAACCTCAATGCTCATCTCACCGACCCACTAGAGGAGTTGATGGAGTTTTTTGATGTTGAAAGGGATGTATGGCGGCAGTATATGTACAAGGTAATCCTTGATTTCAAGGACTTGAAATTCGTGCTTGGGCTTGATTTGCTGTTCGTTGTAGAAAGTAGTGTCAAGCCTGAAAGCAACTCGCCACCGTGTATGCACGGTGAAAGATATCAAGGATATGCGCTGGGTGAAGGGGCGATTACGAGATAAAATCATCGAGATTCTTGAGACCGGTCGCTTGTCTAAGCTTGACGTCAAGAAAAGTAACCCAAGATTGTGTGCATTGGTTGAAATCGCTCGAGTATGGGGCGTTGGCCCTGTTACGGCAGCAAAACTTTATGGCCAAGGATATAAGTCGGTAGCAGATTTGCGAAAGCCTGCTGCTGCTGAAGTGCTAACAGCGCAGCAACAAATTGGTGTGAAACACTACGAAGACATCTTGTTAAAGATTCCGAGGTGCGACACATAGTAGATCACAGCCAGCGCACGTGATCAATTATTTAACAATTGTGGCTTTTGTAGAGCTGAAGTGCACCAGATCGAACAAATAGTTTCGGATGAAGTTCACAAGATGATTCCAAATGCTATTGCTGTGGCATGCGGCTCATATCGTCGTGGCAAACTTTCATCTGGCGACTGTGATATACTTGTCACGGATCCAGATGCTGATACTTGTGATATTCTACCAGATCTACTCAAACGTCTACATGCTTCGGGATTTCTAACGGGTAAGTGTGATAAGAGATGTTAATTTATCCTTCTTGAACTTTATTTCTCCCGATGTCGTTTATTGTAGACGATTTGACACACTTTCAAAAGCAAAAAAATGGTGGTTGTGATACCTACATGGGTGTATGCCGTTTGTCCAAGGTTGGTATAATTTATACATCATGACCTTTTTTTATTCTGCCGCCTTTATTTTTAATGTTAATGAAAAAAAACGTCCAGAATCTCCCGCATCGCCGTCTGGACATCAAAGTTTACCCCCGACTTTTTTTTGGATTTGCAATCCTCTATTTTACTGGAAGTGACCATTTTAATCGAAGTATGCGACTCTATGCAAACAAGAATGGCTGGAGTCTGTCGGATCGTGCACTAACTCGAGTGGTGCGAGTGAATACAACGAAAGTGCGCCTTGGAGATAGTGTTGTTTGCGAATCCGAAGTGGATGTTTTTATCGCATTGGGGTTAGAGTACAAAGATCCTACCGAACGTAATTGCTTTGACATAAAATTTATCGAAGAGGACGAAGCGAAACCAAATAACCTTGATGTGATTTAAACTCATAATTGCATTTTTTAATACTGGAGTAATTCTACCGATATCTATCTGATTTGCCAATTATTAAACAAGCTCGCGATGCCGCTGTTCCTCGCGAATCTGGCAATGTCCAGCTACTTTTTGGCCTTATGCTATGTTCTTATCACTGCCATGACCGTGAATAAGTACCTCGAGGTGCGAGGAGTTCTCAAAAGGCATCAGCACACGACATGGAGCACCGTGCAGCTGTTGATCATGAGCATAGCTCTGGGCTCATTCTTTCGGTCGGCGACCTTTTCTACACTTTGCATTTTTGACTCCCAGGCCAACGCGGATCTACCCACGGGAATCTCTGGTGTAAATCCGTGGACACAGGGAAAGTTGCCGCCCAATTTTCGAGGGGACGACCCCGAATACACGGACGAAGCTCCTCGTGGTAGGCACACAAACGCGGAGCTAGACTTTTACAACAAAGTGGTGGCTGTGCTATTTAATTTGCCAGATTTTCTCTTTGTATCATCTTATTTACTGCTGGTCTTAGTTTGGGCTGAAGCCTTTCAGTCGGTTGGTGTGATACATTTGAAGGTTGATCGAAAGTCTGATGAGTATTTGCACTACTTTGGTGTAGTCACGACGTCATTGGTTTTCTGCAGCAGTGTTCAGACGAAAATGGATGATTTTCTATTTGGTTTTCAATGGAGGATTATACTTGACACAGCTCGTGCTATATGCAAGTCTATTTTTGATCGACAAGAATGGGATCTTCGATGACGAAAAGCAAAATCATCTAAGTTTCGTACGTAGATGTTGATTTACTTTAGGGCAGGGTTGCTTCACGTGAGTATTGCGTACGCAGATTCCCGCGATGATTTTCTACTTGGTCGCGGCAGCAGATTTATTTTTACCAATTATTATTTTCTCGACCTGGCTGTATTTGACTTTGTCACTGTCGGGATTTCCCTTGAAATCGCGTTCTGCGCAGATTCGTTTACAACTTGTGGGCCGGCTCGTCATGGCTTGGAGCTTCGGCCGGATATTATACAGCGTCATGACGCTACTTACATTCACGAAGGTAGCTTCTCTGATAATCATTACGATCCCTTGAGCTGCTGGGTATCTTTCTCTCAATATTTTGAGTTAATGTGATAGGGATGGTTCAATGTACACCGCGAAAACGCTTCGGTACCATATTTATAAAATAGATTGAAGATCGCGGAAATTTGTTGCTTTAACTGACTGTATTTCAGTAGACTCAGGCAATGCTGCTCGTTATCGTGTTCTTCGCTGCTGAACTGACGCCAATCTATCTGACGCTTGATAAGCGGTTGCTCGCGGTGCTGTCTGTGGAGGAATATGAGCCGCTTCTGGAAGGCTCAGAAGTATACCGATAGGAAAAGTAGCTGGAGCCAACGTCAGTAACGAAAGTAGGTAAGCCTCAAGCTCCCTCGACAATTGCGATTTCTCAACGAGCAACAATGCGACAAAGCAATAGTAAAATCTGGTGACTGACAGCTCATTATTGGACAACACGTGGGGTTTCCGACGTTATTTATCATGCAATTCTTGTCTCTTAACATTTTTTACATCTTACAACCTCCTAAGAATATTATGCAACCGAAAAGTCGAATATTGGATGAATGACAAGCGACTCCCAGTCTACAAGCTGAAAGTATGACTCCAACATAGGCAAGCGGTTGCCAGCAACTGCCGAAGTGCTGCCGTATTTGCCACGGATAGATAAGTCGAATCCGCACGTACGCCTGACAAACTTCCACATAAAGCACTCATCCGTCCACACAAGGTGCTGAGCATCATTCGAAGGTGGCACGACAGACTTGCTAATGATAGCAAACGTATCTCGGTCAATTGAAATCCGACACACAAGAGTCATTGCGTGGCGTGGAAAACTTTCTCCAATAAATTGGTGAATATTGCGCGTCAAATACATATTTTCATTTAGCTTCTTCAAAATCTGATAGTGTTATAGCATGTCAACATCAAAACACATAATAATTTTTTGAAATACCACGTACACAAAACTTGCTCCTTCGGCGGTGCAGCAACTCCTGCTTGGCTTCATCGTGAAACATCGCCCAAGTCTCGTTGAAAGCACGAGCCATATCACCTCCCACAAAACTCTTCTCGGAGAAAGTATGCATATACATAGACTTGGATTCACGCTTAGTCTGCCAATCCATGTATGTGATGGCCTCTCCACTTACTTGATACTCCATCATCTCCATAAATGCCTCTTGGGACGTCTTCTCTAGCTCCTCATCGGACGGGTATTTTACATTTTTCATAAATTGAATGCTGTCAGTAGATGGCTTATAGACACAAAATAATCGCATGGCTCCGTCAGTTTCATCTCACAGGTCTAGAAGTATCATCCTTCCTTTGCACGTACCGGCATGGCCTGCTGGATCTTTTCCGCAAAGCGTTGACGTTTGCGATTTTCGCTTAGCAAAAACTCTTTCTGACGACGCAAGCACTTAGTAAGCTCCATGACCTCCACGTACTTCTCAATTTTGCTGGTACGCTCAAGTGGTAGGTTGGACTTGTCCTGATTGGCACGAGCCGCGATACGACTTGCCAGCATATTTTCCAGACGCACAATTTCTAACCGCATCTGCTCACTATCCACCTATGATACCATGCATAATATAGCACGAGTTAACGAGGCCACGGCGAATCCCAACAAGAACACAATACGCACGCCGTTTGAGCTTTTGGAGTACGGACGAGAAGCCAAGTTGCCACCTTCGTATTGATCGTCACTTCCATTAGTTCCTAGCAATGCGAGAGCATATTGGTCGTTGCCCAGGTCCAGCGCCATCGACGTCGAAGAGCAGGTAACGAAGGAGTTGGTGGGCTCCTGCTCTGTGCTTTTCCTACATTCTGTCTCCTCTCTCCGCCGTGAACTTCAAACCGCATAGCCTGAAACACCTTTTAATATTAAGTATTATTTTTAATATGCATAGGCTTAAAGCTAAAAAAAACAAATGGGCCTGTAAGAAAAAATATTTTTCTCGTGTCGTACAGTGCACATAACCTTGTTGTGGAACACATGATATTGTGTATTCTACTCTCTAGATTGCCCATCTCCATTGCCGCCCCGTCTGCGACTATTCGAAGCTCCTCAGAGGACGTAACTCGCCGAGTTCAAGCTCAAGCCAACAAGCCAAAGTACCTGTCTTCCGCTGCCTGTGACTTCTGTACTCGTATCTGTTGTTAACTTATGGGTGATAAGAAGAAAAAAATATCGCGTTCGCCTCTGGCCGCTGCAGTCTACAGCGGTGCGCGCGAAACACAGCCACTACCAGCTTCAACATCGAACTCTGACAGATTGTGATTCACATGCTCAACAGGATCCGTGGTAAGCAGTGACGGCCTCAGTGTAGAGAGTGCTACACCGTTGAGTTTGGAGGCCGAGTGGACCCCATCTGTGCATTGCAAGCAGTACGGTGTCGGTTTGCAACCCATTGTTGTACGTCCCAGCATTAAATCGAACCTGAAAAGCGAGATACGCATAAAATAGTTTGTTCGATACAGAAAGTGCGCAACGACTGGACGCCACTTAACACGCCGTATACACCGCAGCTGATGAAGCTACATCTAAAAAGGCATGAGGGTTACGACGAACGGGATGAGTACGATGAACGCCCTGGTATGCAGCTGGTAACGATGGTCAAATCTAAGATCGTGCTTGTGATGCAGCCTGTGCACAAAATTCGGTGAGTGTTGCCTCCGCTCTTTTCAGTTGAGAAGTGTCCGACAACTTCTTGATAACATATTTGGCAGATGCACAGTAGATCATGTTGTAGGGATGGTGGTGCCAAGAATAATCCAAGAAGCCGTATTATTTTCTAAGGTTTGCCTTTCCACGTCATTTGCCCGTACTTCACTTATCGTTCGCTATGTCCAGATGCGCCCGTGGATCGCTTGGCATTTAACGGCCATGGTGTGTGTGCCGTTTGTTATGCTTTTGTGTCCGATGCTTATTGCGCTTAGCATCTGCACGTCGCCTATTTGGATTTTGGGTGTCGTAGTTTTATTCATTCGCCTTCTCACGCGAAGTCACTTTCCTACCGAAGAAAAATTTAGTCCCGACTCGGAGGAAGAAGAGGAAACAAGTCCGCACCACCCGAATTCGATATATCGACGTGCGCACCTCACCAACCACGAGTAGTGATGATACTGTTTGCTGCTGGATTGGTTCATCTCAGATTAGTTCATAGTACTATTTGATTTATTCTTCCTACGTCTTTTTGCTAAGCATTTGCTTTTGAAAACGCGTCTGATAAAAAGAAATGCATTGCACAATGCTGTGCCGTTTTGGACTCTAAACAGCAGCGATTACTCCAACGAAAAATTCGCTTCTAAATTTAAAATCCGACGCATTTGTCGGGTTCAAGATAAGCATCATCGGTTTTTACCGCGACGTTGGCCTTTGCGTCAATAGTAGTAGAACTGACAAGTGTGGGCTTGATCGGATAGGCTTCCTCGTCGAAGTGCAGGTACACGTCAAGTATCGAGCCGAGAAAGTCCGTAATGGGCACCTCAGCGATAGAGCGGCCTAAAATGTCGGCTCGATATTCAGGCGTAGAGTAAAGCATCTTTGGATCATAAAAGCTAAAAAGGTCTCGAAGGGTTTCGTTGCGGATGGAACTGCCAACCTTCATGCGCTGCAGATAGTCGAGTGTCGAAAATGTAAAACGATCAATGACGGAAAGACCCAGCTGCACCGAACAAGAATTTCAAACGGTGAAAGACAGTAACTAATGCATGTTGTCAACAGCATTTTTACCTCGAAATCGGAGTGGTGGGCGTATGAGTTCTCACCCGTCTTTGAACTACCAATTGTTACCACCTTTGGGGATTTGATCGCATTGGACAGCGATTCTGCTTGGCAGGTGTCGACCATAAAAAAAATTTCATTGTAGCTGTGCACGCTCGCCGAGCAATTAGTTTGACTGATCGCTGACGCTTATGACTAACTCACCGCTTCTTTACGTGCATCTCTTGAATAGAGTCGGCAAGATCCTGACTTGACATTTCTTCAAAATCCTAACTTGGTCAGAAACGTGATGGTATTAAGAATTGCTGGTCTCATCGTCGTGTTGTCCTTTACTTTGAGGATTTCATACGCACCTGAAATTTCAAGAACCCATCGCCGCCGTGACCAGACATATATAGCTGTCAATTGAACCCATGTGAGCAAAAGGGATTGTAACGCCGGTAATATAAAACTTTCTCACAAAAATGTTACTATTCTCATCCGTATCCAGTTTCTTTGATGCGGGCGTCCCAAGCTCATGACGACCTGGTCGGACGATCTTGATCGCATAAGCAAGGCTGCTTACACCAATATTAATTGACTTACTTACCCGTCAAAACTGTGATAAAGTTGGCCACCGAAACCTCGGAGCCGCGATAGTCTACCTCGACGTTTTTTCCATAGCTGCATTTTAACCAAATTTAATCAGCAGGTGCAAGTAGCTTCCAAAATTTGCATAAGGTAACCCCACAGATTGAGTTTTTGCGTTCGACTATTAAATACTTGTCCTGGAAAGCAGTTTCGGGAATTGCACGGCATTTGGTCCGCCAGCATCAAAATGATCTACATAAAGGAGTCGCACCGTCACATGCTACAAAAGGGCTGAGTCTTTTCTTATTCACCTGACTATCTGGGATCCCATGACGTTTAACAGAATGGTACAGAGATAATGCATTGGCGATGTGTCGGTAGTTACTCCAGAAGCGAGAAGTGTCTACCTGCAACAATCGTTACACGAAGTATATCTGACGTTTTTATAAAAGTTTTTCTTACGATTACCGCCCAATTATTCGTGTGGCGGCGATTTTTTTCCTCTCCGCAAGCGCAGCTCATTACGAGCAGTAGCGGGACCCATAAAGAGAGCGTCGTTCGCATTATTTCAGAAAATAAATTATAGTAACATATATAATTGATAAAAAGAGGGTAAAATACAATCGACAAGCTAATTTAGATCTCAGATGTCTGAAGTCTTGGTGGCACTGGTGCGCGTCAAAAAGCGCGATGGATGCGCTGAGTTCTCGCACAAAGGCTTACGCTGGACAGCTGATGTGTCTTCTGAGTCTTCGGTAGGCCACCACCCACCAATTGTTGTGTTATGGAACAACGTGCATGACCAGCAGATTTCATCTCGTACGAGCCCTAAGGCTATGATCCGTCTACGACTTGCACACAACTCGACGCTTGTTCTAGAATTTTTCACACATTCTGGTAATTTAGAAGATGCCTTTGCGGTGCGCGAACAGGCTAAAGACTATATTGCTCGCCGGTTGCGCGAAAACGGAGCCAGCGGATTGCGCTCCAATTCCGCGGCGCTGTGCAATCCCACAGAAATCAAGCAGCGGGCAGCGCTGCTAGCTGCCAATCCAGCACTGAAGCGACAGCACACAGAAATGGTAAATGATGGTTTGATTTCGGAGGAAGATTTCTGGGCGAGTCGTCGCCATTTGATCGCTGGAGAGGCTAGTAAACGACAGAAGACAGCGAAAACGTCTGCAATACTTACAGACTTGGCAGCGAACAATGATTCAGGCGGCAATGTTGTTAAATACAACTTAAATGCAGAGGTCATACACCAGATCTTCACTCAATATCCGGCCGTGTACATGGCGTACCAGGAACAAGTACCAGACAAGATGACGGAGACGGAATTTTGGGGAGCTTTTTTCAAATCAAAGTATTTTCATCGAGATCGGAAAGCCGGGCATGAAGATATGTTTTCAAAGTATGAGGAAAAGGGGAACCAAGAGGCTATGAATGTGGGCATCGATCCACGTGGTATTGTGGACCCATTGATTGATCTTACGACAACTGAGGAAGATGCAGCAGTACATCACGCTAAAAGACGCACCAATAAAAATAAAAAAGATGACCCTGGCAGCATTACCATTACCAAATTTAACAGACATGGCGCTTATGTGCTAGATCCCGCGCATGGAGTAAAGTTGCAACAGCAAAAAGCACAGAAAAACAATGCCCAGCAATCGTCGCTCTCACCTAAAAAGCCGAGTGCAGGCTTCCATGACAACCTGGGAGACGCAACGTTGCTAGACGATCTTCGAAATAAACCGTCGCGACCGTATAACCCGCTCACGCTGGAAGATGAGTCGCGCTACTTCCAACACGCTCAAAAGGGAACTGCTGCTGATATTGACACGCCAGACAAAATGTCGCTTGTTCAAGCAGCACTGGAGTTCCAAGCGACATGCAGAGCTCCATTTCATTTAGAGCTGGCTTACCCCAGTTCAAATTTGTGCTTTAACGTGCTTGCTGAAGTCGTTGCGTGCTCAGACTCAACAAGTGACTCAGCTTCAGCCTCGTCTGCTGCAAATTTAGCAAGTGGCGCATTGGCTGCCGAGTATATCCCAAACGAGTTTAAAAAACAGGTTTACATCCAGTTTCATGACGTATGCGAGCTGTTGCGGCACTTTCTTTCGTTTAAGACGAAGGTGGCGGAAGGTGGTGGTCCTGAAGCCCAACACAAACTTAATAGAATTGTCGAAAAGATGGGTTCCAAATACGACGAGTTGGTCAAGTTACGCGAGTCACTGCCGCCGCATGAGAAGAATCTGCTGGCTCCATTGCTAAAACCGTTTGATGACCAGCTTAATCTGGCCTTTATTTAATCAATGCGTCTTAATGCAATAATTGCACAATGAAATATACTGCTGGAGCTTTTGTCAATTTCAATTTTTTCACTAATCCCCGAATGAATACAGCGGCAACAGTGGACGGCACTGGCAACTTCTCTTCGGAGCAAAAGGCGCCATGCCCAGTTGCAGCGTCCGCATTGGTGCCCTTTTCGTTCCATAATCCTTTTCATAATGCGCTGCAAGACGCTACCCGTTGGTTTCCGATTGCCGGTAAGGCTATTCGCATAGATCAAGCATGGCAGAGCGACGGACGAGGTGGCACAACTTTGGGCTACGGGGCTTCAGTTTATGACGCAGCTATTGCATTATCGTTATATCTTGTGGATCATCCGGATTTGGTAAAGGGGAACCGCATCATTGAATTGGGATGCGGCCCGGGACTCGTTGGAGTCGTAGCTGCTCACCTCGAGCCCAAGAGTGTCGTGATTACTGATGGGGACTCAGCTTCAGTGGCTCTCACACAACATAATGTTCACCTGAACAATCTTTCAGCAGATATATGCACCGTTGAGAAATATATCTGGGGTGACTTGGAGCACCACTTGGTGTCGATGCACGCCCCTTACGACGTGATCATTGGAGCTGACATAGTAGCGTGTCCGTACGCTTCAGCTTTTAAAGAATTGATGAGAACACTTCAAAAAATGGCTGGGCCGAAAACACTCGTGTTATTGGCCTACAAAAGGCGACAAAACTCGGAGGAAAAGTTTTTCAAGAATTTGGAAACAGCGTTTGATGTCAAGCAAGTTGACCGATCACAGTTGCACCAAGACTTTCAAAATGCAGAGATTGTAATTTTTCAGGCGCACCTGAAACATAAAGAAGGGCGTAGCTGAGAAATGTAGTCTATCTGTCAATCATTGTTCTACGGTATTGTTGCATCTGCTGTTTTCGCCTTGGCAAGCTCTCGACGAGAATGCGAGTAACTTTGGGTTTTCCAAAAGCATGTGTGGTCAGCGTAAAGCACACGATAAAGATCAGCATCCTAGCCGACCACTTGACGCTTTTAACAACGTCCAGTGATCCATCCAGTCGTAATGGCAATAGATGAACGCAAGTGGCATCCTAACATGATGGTCAAATTTATTCACAAGTAGGCAGACTACATATGCACCCGGAGCCAGATGCTTAGTCATGGCTCGCTCTCCGTCAAGTTAAACGTGTGGTACAAATACTTCCCGCTCCTCCCAATCAGCCCCGCCGTACTCCTATCCGATATAGATGAGGCTCGGCGAATTCTACGAAGCAATTCAGGGACGTCGGCGTCGTATGCTGAGTGTACCATCAGTCCAAGCCATAGTTCTTAGCAGCTTCAGCTATCGCCGTTGTTGGATCATAAGACGGAGGAGAACATAATCCACCTGTAGCAGATGCCGAAACGAGGTGCTGAGATTGATAGAAAAGGAATGATGTGTCTTAAATTCAAAATGACCATTACCACAGGCTTTCATATAAATTGTCTTGATTCAGTGGATTAATGCGTATAATGATGCGGAAGTGGCCTGATGTGCGCTCTTAAGCATTAAGAATCGGGTTTTCATACCATTCGAATGGCCTTAAAGCGACATTTTTGGGCATTATTTCGTGTGGCACGAGTTCAGGTTGAAGTCGTCAATTGCGCATCCAGAAGACTTAAGAATTAATTGTGATATAAACATACACTTCGAGTGTAGCGCCTATGTCGATGGAATCGACATCAGGATGATCAAAACGATCAACAACAGCACCAGTCCACTTCACTGAATAGTACTTCAATTCCCGAGAATTGGCGGTGTTTTCTACTTTGGAAGATGGATGACGGCCATGTTGGGAGCTGGAGGAAAGATACGTGCAACATCTGGATCTTCAATAGAAATGGATGCCATTTCGAAATGAGCGAGACATTTTGCAAAACTAATACAATCATTGCACATCGCCCGGTCAACAACAATTGTAATGTGCTCCCAGTACATTCGCCTTTCGTTTGCTGGCAAATTACGGGCTGTGAGCTTCTCCTTGATATCTATCAGCTTTTGCTTTTCCGCGTGACACCAATAAAAAAAGAAGCTGCGACTATTAAGAACCGGTGGTCTGACATCCTCATGTTTGTTGCGCTCGATAATGTACGTGTGGCCAATCTCTTCCACGGAAGCAGCGACTGCCAAACTCAGTCTCTTTTGGGATAAAAAGCCATCTTCAGTTCCGAAAGCACCAAACCCACTACGCGTCCGTCCCTCCAATAATTTCTTTAATAATTTTGCGTCCAGTGCGAAGCTTACTACAGCGCTATATATATCACGCGTAGTACCACAGTCGCTCTGCAGCTTAGCAAAGCTGATGGAGGCCTTGGGTGATGTCTTAAAAAGTGCATAGCTCTTTTGCTGGCCTAAAAAGTCGAGGTAGTGTGTGACTTTCACCACCTGCTCAGCATGCGTCAGCTCAAAGAAACTGGCTGCCTCTGTCTCGGAAAGAAAATCTTTGAAGCTATAGTAGCGCGGCGTGTCTTCGTCGGCAGACAGGAGCGACATGTACTTGTCAAAATGCACAATGTATAGCAAATGTGCAGCATGCTACATGAATACAAAATAAAGGAGGTTAAGGAAAAAAATATCAGTAGGCACCACGACCAAAAATCACACGAGCAACTGAGTTTAGCCTGAGTTTTATGCTCAAATTAAAGGAGGTTGGAAATAAATTATACCAGAAAATAAAGACAACACCCCAAAAAACACAGCAACAGCGCCTAACAATTAACAGCACCGTATCCAGTAAAGGCGCCTGCACCAGCAATACATATCATTTAATCGGAATAGTAAAGCCTGTGTCTGTAAGCTAGCCCCTTCCCTGGACTGGTAATCACATCATTGCCGATCGTAGTGAGAGCAGGGCCCTGTATGGGTCGGTGGGTCGTGGATAACCCACGGAATGGGTCGACCCACTACTCCAAAACTGCCCTTGGGTAACCCACGACCCAACCCATGGGTAACTCAAACTTACCCACCGACCCACTGACCCTTCAAATTCTAAAAATGTCAAATTAATTCAACGCCACCACTTGATGATTTTCACGGCTTGTTTAATCGACCCGTCAGCACTGGGACGGCGAATTACCTGCAAGTCAACCTCGCTTAATCAAACACTGAAACTTCAAAGAAAGATTGCAGTTTTCGCGACATTGCGATGGAGTTTAGGTAATAACTTTGAACAGCACAAATGTTTATTGATCTGCGTGTTCGGGTTCGGTGTCGGACTCTTCAATCTCACCAAGGTACTTCTCGAGAAGGTCCGGATTGTCACGAAGAACGACGTTGCCTTCCAAGGAGTCACTGGAAAGCGCGGAGCGCCGCACGGACTTGATGAAGCGCGTGGTGCTGAAGCTGCGCTCGCATTCTGCGCTGCTTGCCGAGATAGCCAGAACAAACGAGGCAAGCTTTGCGAGCAGTGGGAACTTGCTTCCAGTAACCGAGTATGTCAAAGTACACGTAAGCGTCCTTGTTCTCATTGTTCAGAAACTGACAGCTTTCCAGGATTTCTTTGGTAGACAGCTTCTCTCCCAAATAGCATTGCAGCTCCTTTTTGAGCATGTCTTGCGTAGATTCGGCGGCGGGTCGATATACCGCACCCTCACCATCTCCCGTGCTTGTCGGTGGCGCAAACGTTATGAAAGATGGCAGTCGCACACCTTCCATGACCGCCTCATCCAGCCCGGTCTCCGTCTCTTGGTGCAGCAGATTGGGAAATGCCGCAGCCAAATTCCCATATGCGCCAGTGTCGCTGCTCGTACGCCATCCTGGTCGGCTACCACCACCTTGGAAAGCGGATGCAAAAGGTACGCAACCTCATGAATGACATCGGGGACAAACTTGTTCGATATGTATGCTTTCAATTCAGCAATCACCGCGCGCATATTGTGCTTCATTGCCGCACGTGCAAACTTAATATCATCAAGCATTTGGGGCGGTTGGGGCTTAAGGTAGGAGACAAGATGCAAAGTCGGGCGGTCACGACTCCGCAGCAAGTCAATTGCTCTCTTGAACACCCCCATGATCGAAACCTGCGCTAGCAAATAGTCCCACGACGTACCCCGCGTAACTCCCTGGCTGAGCTGCTCAAGCAATGCAACGTGCTCCTCATCGTCTTGAGAGTGAAGAAACGCCTCAATCTCGCTGCGATTGCGCAATATGCTCTCCAGCATCGACAAATGGCTGTTCCAGAGGACATCAATTGCAGTATGCAAGATTGAGGGGAGTACAGCAGCTTGTCCACATATGTAACTAGATCGGACGCTCATACAAAGATGGTGCGGATGTGGGCTGGGACACCACTATCCTTATGCACAAACGTGTCTTTCAGCACAGTCTGCAGTCTGTGGCAGGCACAGCGTAGCCCGTTGAAGCAAGAAAGCATCGCGGATTCGGAAGCACTGGTGAAGATGGTTCTGATATCGGCCACTGGCATTTCGAAACGGCCCCGAAAGCGTCCACAAAACTGATTCTCAAGACGTCGTCTCCAAAGACCCGCCTTCGGCCCTACCTCCGGACCGAGGTGTGCGT